ATACGATGATGTCACGGTGAGAGGCGGGACATGGGAGCAGCGCAAGAGAGGAAAAAACACAGACTCAAAACGCTCTGAATACAGACAGCAGCACCCAACCTCTGTTACCTTTGGCTGAAGTAAATATAAATAAAAAATGATTGATAAGGATTGTCCCCACCAGGCCAAAGTTGGTGGGGACATGTCCAAACCAGTCCTTCAGAAAGTTACTCCTGTGGTGCCAATTGTCATCTCAAGGCACTTTACAGTTCAACCAGATCATCCAGTTCAATTGATTCCAATTCAGTTCAGTTTATTTATATAGCGCCAATTCACAACAAAGGGTTTCTATCTAAGGAAAACCAGTTAATTGCATCGACTCATTGACTCGAAGGTAATCCCTTAGCAAGGCCTAAAAACATGATCTAAAATAAACTGTGAATATTTTTTTCTTTTTGATTTTGGCATTATTATAAAGTGATTATAAACAACATATTCTCATTATCAGTTCGTATGAAATCGTACGAAAACTTATGCACAGTATTTCGTACGTTTTGGATGTTTTTCCTCAAAAAAACAGATCAGTGCGCATGCGCAACCAGACAGACGAAAAAAGCAGATCTGCGGACCGACGTAAAACTGGAAAAAACAGTGCAATAATTACTTTTTGATGTCTCTCACTAGGTTGCTTGCTGTTTTGTATCTTAGGGTTAGGGTCAGGGTCAGGGTTAATTGTATGTTAAATTCTATGTTATTCAATGGTGCGTAAGATGCGCATGCGCAAGGATATCTTGTCTCGAGGCAAGACGTAAAAATACGACGAAATACCACGAAAAAAATGTCAAAAACGTACGAAATTACTGTGCATAACTTTTCGTATGATTTCATACGAACTGATAATGAGAATACACTGTTTGAAAAGCATAAACTTGAATACATCAGGGTAATACCAATGAAATGTATCAAGAAGATACCTGGAATACTGTGTTCCAGCCTATGTTCATTTACTCTATTTTCCTTTGTTTTTGTTCTTCTTGTGGTCCACTGTTGTTTATGTTTACTTTGGCCGGCGGGTCGCACAGGATGGCCACAAGAACATGAAATGCAATGCTTTGGAACATCTAGCACAAGCCTTATATTATAATTAAATATATCTTTAAAACTAAAGCAGCACCAATGACAGATTTAACAGCACAGATCTGTGCAAATGAAGCACTAAAAAAGTAGCCTCCTTTGGTTCATTTTGGAGCTTAATAGGACATGATGACCTCTGGATGACCTGCAAAACTATCTATAACATCTCTTAAACAAAAGTAGCACAAGCAAGGATTA